GAGGTTTATTAAATTTATAAATGAATGTGTAACGTTTTTTTAACTTTAAATGAATTTAATTCTAGCGTCCCCATACATGGGATGCTGATGTGAGATCTCTCATCTCATCTCATCTCATTCTTTTTGAAATATTGTTCAGACGATCTATCCTACCACTAAAGAGAAGATGTTAAACGAGTCGAGTGGCTCGTAAAAAACCAGCTCATGGGCGGCAAGTACGAGCCCGAACATGAGTCGAGTGACCCGGCTCACCAGACAAGTTGAATCCACTCGGCTCGTCACCATAGTGACCAAAACGGTCACTTTTCACGTACAAGTTCGGCGACTATTTGCAATAGTCATTGAACTTGCAAAAGTGGCCATTTTGGCCACTTTTTTTTTTTCTTTTTTTTTACTCTATAAAGATTCCAACTCATTTATAAAAAAAACTTCACACACCAACAACAATTCTTACTCTATTCCATATTACCTTCAATTTCAATTATTCAATATCAATTATCACACTACAAATTTATAATTACAATCTTATACTTTCTTTCCATGCTCTTTATTTACTTACTGTACAATTATAATACATAATCTATATATTTCATCACAGTTTACAAATGAATCCACAATCATTTGTTGAGGGCTTGTTCGGTATCGGAGATGAATTACCTTTGACGCCGCAAAGTCAATTTCACAATAAATTTGTCGGTCTTAACAAAGTACCAATTCCCGAAAATATTCCAAATTTGGATGAATATGGAAGTAGTAATTCAATTGATTTGGATGATATTGATGTTCTCGAAACGGAACAAGAGGAATTACATATTCCCGATGTAAGAGGAAAGTGAAAGGGGAATAAGACGCAAAATGTTGGGGTCGATTTAAATTGATTCAAACGGGCCGTGGGTCGATGGAGTCGCAGAGTCTAAAGAAGTATGTAAATACAGTCAAACACGATTGTCATGGCAAAGTGACATTGAAACCACATACCTCAATCGTTACTACAAAGCATGTGCGGCCAAACATCGGCTTATTGGTGCCTCTCAAACTCAATTGTAATTTGGTAGTCCAACTGTCGATTGTACTTCTACGATACTTTGCACGTGGATGCATTCAGATAAGAAAGTTGGAACGAGAATGATGAAGATCATTGTCGATGCTGAGTTGCATCTAGTAATAGCGGACAACCAATATTTCGTCTCCTATATGAAAAAATATCTTCAACCGAGGTATGTTGTGTTGACCTAAGATTAGCTCTACTTGTTTTGATTATAAC